ATATATATATATATATATATATATACGTTAACGACCCCTAACAAAAGACATGTGTCTTTTCTTCGCCGAAAGGATTCAAAATGATTGTCTTTTTTCTATAGTTCAAACAAGGAAAACCCTAAAAAAATCGGACTGTTTCACTTATCTTCTTTTAGTAACTCAACTCTTCATGTTTTTGTTCAACCCTGCTGTGGCCAGATATTGAACCCACAACTCTTTGGGTCAAGTCACTAGATTACTCCAACGAACGGTTTTATACACTAATCTACGCGTCCTTGAGGCATCGCACGTGGAACTAGAACAATCTACTCCCCGTAGACTCAATAACTGGTTTAGTTCGAAAATCCAACGAATATCACCTGAAGAAGGCCCGTGCGTACAAAACGAAACGTCGTGAATATGACAATGAAGAAAATAAAGAAAATATAAATGGTGTAAAGAGTTGAAATATCTTGATTCTTCAAAATTAATTTCCTGTTAAAATTTTAGCCTAAACTAAAGCCAATAAACGATTTTCAATTCGACGGAGAGTTAACTTGGAACATTATCTTTTTCCTTCTTTTTAGGATTCTATGTTTTAGAACTATGGATGTTTCTTTCTGATTCTAACTATAAAGCCGTATGTTTTCTAAGTATATGGTAGTCAGATGTTCATTTTGCAAAAAAACAAGAGTGAATCAAAAATAAATAAATTAGGAGAGAGAGAGAAAGAGAGAGAAAGAGGAAAAAGAGGAAGAGTTGGGAGAAATGAGATTTTTAGTACTGGGAATGTTTCCTATAAATTTACAGAATAACATCTTCATGAAAATGAATGAAATGCTTATAAAGTTTTATAGTTTTATACAAAAATTAACTGATAGCAACATACCATCAATAAAATTATTCATGGTAAGTAATTTACTTACTTTTGAAGGCATACATATGTTTAATGCAAAAAGTATTGTCATAAATCTTGTCAAGTGTTTCAAGAAAAGTGAGCTATTAATTAAAAAAAAACTTCGAACTTACAAAGCTTTTAAGAAAATCAACACAAAGCTCACGGTGAAATAACTTACTGTCACTAGCTTGCGGGTCTACAATGCTATTACTCTTTGGCAGAGATTGATGTTTTCCTGTAGTAAAATAAAAGGACACTTTCTGCGTACAATCTGCCTCTCGCGCGGTCGTTACTCCTTCTCTTCAACAGTAGAGGTTTACTCCTTATTTCGTAGCACATGTGAATATAAAAGATAAACATTGTTTTTCCCCGTGACTCATCTTCGGTGACTGGAGTTTCATTTCCTTCCTTATTTTGGCTTTTCTTAGAAGGTTTTTTGTTTTGTTGCCTTCATTAAGTATGCACTGCACCCAGTAAATCCGAATACTCTTAGCAGAACGAAACATTTAATACAAGAATGTTGGTATCAATCCTTGTCGATGCTTGTCGTTGAAGATGGCAGAATTGACACACTGGTCATAAACCCAGCCTAGATAATACAAGACCTTATAGAGATACTCCTCATAACTCATATGAGCTGGGTATGACGATAAACTACATCCGGCAGCAAGGCTTCTGATCGTGAGTGGAGGTTTGGGGATGCATAGAACGACCTCTTAATTGCAGTTATTCCCAGGTTTAGGATTAAGGTTACAGCTATGGACAAATAGTAAACCCAAAGATAAAAAAAAAAAGAAAAACACTATGAAAGTATAAAAATACATTTTTAATGTAAAAATACCAGCAATATTTATTTATAGCAAAATCACCTGCAATCCATTTTATCTGTAGTCGAAGGCATGTAATTGTGTTAAAGTTATTAAATTTTAGCATTGAATAACCCATAGAGGCTGATAAACAAAATCAGCCAAACAAAAAAGCATGAAAGATCTCTTTCCTCACATTAATCCATATAATATCCTACATTTTTTACAGAAATCAAACTGTATTCCAAAATATAATTTCAACAAAAGCACCTGTGAATAATATAAAAAAAAACAAAACATTGTTTTTTCCCTGTTAGTTTTCTTCGGTGACTGGAATTTCATTTCAATCTCCTCGGTTGGGACTTCGGTGTGAGATATTTTTTTTTAATAATTTCACCCCATAGAAAGCGATAAAGACACTAAGATAACATTGAGTTAATGAGAATAAAAATCTGAGAAAATTTTATTGAGTCGGAAGGAGAATAAAAGAATAAGATTCAAGGACGCAATATGTCGATTGTTATTGCATTTAAATTTTGGAAAACCGTAGTTGACAAGAAAGCAAGAAACTGAAAGAGAGCAGTGCAAGAGAAGAAACTAGTAAAAAAGAATTTATCGTTACGTCATGCAATTTTAAAAGTACATGTGAAAATAAATATACCTAATAAAAAGCGATCTTAACAGTTATATAAAACAAAATTTCCTTATACACATCACTAAAAGGAAACATTTTGAGATACACTCAGAAGAATGTCTCTAGCATCGACAAACGAATGATGCCAACATTCTTGAAATAAAGGTTTCGTCCGATTAAGAATATTTGGATTTACTGGATGCAGTGTATACTTAATGAAGGCTGCAATAGTAAAAAAAAAAAACAAACAAAAAAAAACGTTCTGAGAAAAGCAAAAATAAGGATGGAATTATTGAATATGAAAGCGTCTTCATCAATTCATCCGGACTTTGACATACGCTTCATTACTAGCCTGTTTTCTCCGGCTATTATCTATTTTCCTTTTATCCTTTTTTCATTGTGCAGATGGCATTGATTGTCGACTACACATCGTTAGTTGTGCAACGCTTTGTATTCTATCGCACTCTCCTTTTTATTTCTTCCACAAATTTTACCGATGATTATATCTTACCTTTGACCTCCGCTTGTTAACGCACATAAACAGGTAAATGCGTCATTTTCTGAATGTTTACGTTTTATTTTGTCTTTTAACTCATCAACTTTATCTGCCAACAATAGAGTTTGAATTACTTACTTTTTAATTTCTTTTTTGTAATCATTTTCATGGTTTTCATAGCTTTTCTTTTGTTAGGATATTCTTCATTGTTTTTTCTCTTGTCTTTCATTCTGCATTTACCTTTTTGTCTTTCTTTTATTAATTTTTTGATTGGGTTCATTGTATGCATCTTTCTTTGCTTCTTCCTTTCCTTTTTCTTTCTTTCCTTTTCTTCCCTTTTTCTTTCTTTCCTTTTTCTTTCATTGTTTCTTTCATTGTTTCTTTCTTTCTTGCATTTGTCATTTTTCTTTCATTTTTCTTTCTTTCTTTCTTTCTTTCTTTCTTACATTCATTTAGCTTGATCCATTCACTTACGCACAAATACCCTTGGGAAAGCTATGAATCCATCTCCCCGTCCCAGAACAGAGTTTATCCCATAGTGATACATTTTTTATCCTAAATGTTATTCTTAAGGGTACAGGTATTTGAGTAGAAAGAAAATGATATTTAACGGTCTAGAAATGTAAAGTTTTATCAAAGAAAATTTGTTTCTCGACAGGAATCAAAAAGGTATTTAATTTTTAATTGGGGAAACTATCTTTAAGTCATCAGTTAGTTAAGTGCCCTGTCTCTTCCTATAATGACTGACTAGACAGAATTTTGTAGGTGGCCGTTTCTCTTTGCGGTAGGCTGGTTGCCAACGAAGGCTATGGGATCAAGTATGTTCTGTTATTTAGCTGGGGGGGATTCATACCGTTTCCAAGGGTATTTGTGCGTAAGTGAATAGAACAAACTCGACTGGGATTCGAACTCGGCTCTCCGATTTCTTATCCCGATTCAATATCCATTACACCACAGCAAACCACCATTAATCTATACGTGCTTTAATTTGACTTTTTTAAAAAAAAACAAGCATGTGTATGCATGAAATACAGCGTTTATAGTAACACACACACATATATATATATATATATATATATATAATCGACTCTCCCGTCAAGCAGATCAGTTTCAAGGAAACCGACAGCCCGACACACCAGGGCATGAGATTTGATTATAGTGGCGAAGGCCTTTTGAAGGACGAATACAGAGACCGAGCGCCACAAGGTTCCCAAACGACCCTTGTCCTTCTCCTAGACCAGTTGCCATCCAAGGCTATAGAACCCAGTCCATCCTGCTATTTTACCCATAGCTGGAGGAAGAGGATTCATACCTTTCCCAAGGGTATTAGCACGTGTTAATGTAATGAATTGGCTGAATTGAACTCGGCTCTCATGATTCCTCAATCCAAGCTGCCATCCATTACTCCAACGTGCCATCTATATATCTTATATATATATATATATATATATATATATATATATATATATATATATATATATATATATATATATATATATATATATATATATATATATATATATATATATATATATATATATATATATATATATATATATATATATATATATATATATATATATATATATATATATATATATATATATATATATATATATATATATATAGAGAGAGAGAGAGAGAGAGAGAGAGAGAGAGAGAGAGGAAGAAAAAGAGTAAGTGAGGAGCGTTTCAAGGGAGAGTTGAAGGAGTGAAGACTGCTTGTTATTAACAAATCTCTGCGCACTGGGAGACAATAATGTGGTCAGCAAGTAAATGGCTGCGCAGTATATTACAGTAATTAGGCATGTCACGAAATCAGACCGAGGCATAAGAAAAAATAAAAGAAAATGTCATTTAAAGCTTCAGAAGATACCATATTTTATTGGTGAAGGCTGCAGATTTGTTCAGCCAAAAAAAAAAAAAAAAAAAAAAAAAAAAACTAACGACGAAAGTAACAAACAAACAGAAAATAAATTCATTTCATTGAAAGTGGAAATCACATTTTGGAGGCGAGGCGATTCACCGAGTCGTTGTCTTCAATAAGAAAAGAAACGCATAAATTAAATGGCTTCATTGATTAAAATGTTTGAAAAGAAATGAGAAGCTTTTACATGCTAATTTGTTAGGAAATTGAATGAGGAAAATTAGAAACACCGTTTTAATGAACAGAATTTTTGGAAAACAATGGCAGCAAAGACTTCGTCGCAGAGAAGACAGCGAGAAAGAAACAGACGGCTGTTTACTTCTTCCAAACACAAGACAACCAGAAGCGATCTCAGTTTGAGAAATACTGTCGAAACTTTAACACCTTATGATTTGTAAAAATCATCACGGCGATACATTAATAGATAAATAAATAGAACTAAACACAGAAAAGAAAAGTTATATGGTTTAAACCTCCTTTCTGTCAACTATCCAATATAAATATCGAACAATACTTTCTGAAATCCTAACCGAAATAACCTACTTAGTAAGGTTTTTAATAGAAAAACCTTAAAAATTAATTACTCATGCACAAATAACATATACAATTTTATTAATTTACACAATAATAAAATATTAAACACATTTTATAACAATAACCAAACAGAAAGCAAACCCTCTTGTAATTGTAGAGTCAAAAGTAATTGCCCAGTTGGAGGTAAATGCAAATTCGAAAATGTTATATTCCAAGCAACCAATTTCCCCAAAGAAAATGTAAATAATAAAGATGTATACATCGTAATTTCCGCCGGGACTATATAATCACAGGCATTCTTTCTTTGACCCTTATCTAAAACACCAAACATCTCTTTCATTCTGGTTAGATCCAGTGATTTGACCCAAAGAGTTGTGAGTTCAATACATGGCTGCAGCAGTAGTGAACAAAAACTTGCAGAGTTGAGTTAAAAGGAGATAACTGAGACATAAGGAAGAGGCATGGTACGTGGAACTAGAACAATCTACCTGGTGGACGAAATAAAGGCCTCAGTTCGAAATTTCAATCACCTGAAGACGGCCGAAGCGTACAACGGCGGAAACATGTCAATAAAGATGAGAATGACAGTCCGAACAATGTAAATAATGTAAATAATTACAATAACTAATCTCAGAAATATAGACAGATTTTATCTGTATTTGAAGGAATGTAAATTTCATTCAAAATATTTCGATATTAGCATTAAATAACCCATAATATTTGATGAATAAAATCAACCAAAAGCAAACAAAAATATGAAAAAAATCTTTCCTCACATCTTTCCTCCATATAATATTCTACAATTTCTTACAGAAATCAAACTGTATTCCAAAATATAACTTCAACAAAACACTATAAATCACATGTATCATCATCTCTAGTAATTGTCCACATAAATATTCATATTCACAAAATCCAATTGTGAAAGCAAAGATATATCATATTTTTCATTACTTCAAAGCGCCCAAGAAAATAATATTTCGGCATTAAATGACTCATAAAGAGTTGATATGGCGTTAAAAAAAATCATATGAACGTTCTAATGCATTTGAAAATACTTGATGCCCTACAATATGATTTAACGGAGAAATTTAATGGAAGGCACTTCTATCTGCGATTATGTTGCTCAAACGCAACAAAAACGACCCGTTTTTGAAAAGAAGGATTGCAGAAGATGAAAAATGAATTGTTTAGAAGAATGTGGTACGAAAAACTCGTCGAAAGGCCGACTTGCACTCGAAGAAGTTGATACAGTGTTTCTGCTGGAACTAGAAGTGCATTTTGTTTTAAGAGTTCCTTCCACAAAATCAGTCTCTGAATTCAGACAATTGCTATTCTTAATTGGATTGATTAAAGGCAGTAATCGATAGGGAGCCTCCGAAGTTGGTCAATCGATAGGGTTTCATCTTCAATCAGGACAGCACCAGACATCACGTCTTTTTGGATCTCAGCAAAAGTTGGTACAGTTTAGCTGGGATGTCCTATTACAACCAACAGACTTGCCTGACAATGCACTTTCAGATTACTGCTTATGTCGATCCCAAGAAAAATTTTCTTAATTAGAATAACATCAATTATCTGGAAGCCTGAAAACACACTTAGCCGGAAGGAAACCAAGTTCCGGTCCAAAATTTGTTTTAATTTAAAATAACCCTTCCCGCCTATTCAATAGCAGTTGGTATGAGAATAAGCAGGAAATAAATGACCTTGCTACCAATAATATCCAAATGACTATCATAATTCGACTATTTATATAAAATCGAACTATTATCCAACCCACATGGCCTGAAGATATCGTTGAAGCATGAAACAGTCAGTCACAAATTTGGTTTGAACTCTATGTCAACTGTGTACACACACTCACAAAACACACACACACACACACACACACACACACACACACACACACACACACACACACACACACACACACACACACACACCTGGGCACCTCGACGTGGTGTAATGGTTAGCAAGCTTATCTTGCTAGATCTGTTACTACTGAAAAGTGAGTTCGATCCTCACTGGGTGCCCCTACTTTCGGCCTTGTGCAACATCTAAGCTACGCTTGGAAAATCACTACACGCACACACGCGCAGATCTATATTTCTAAAGAAGTAATGTATTTTTTATTAATCCAACACATTTTATCACTTTGTACATAATTTTAGTGGATACTCACATGTGAGTAGACTCTCCATTTATTTATTATACGGTATATTCATTTATTTTCTTCTGTCAGCGACATGAATGCTCGAGAAATATTTCGTCCTCCAGCAGTATTCGAACCTTCTAACGGGGGACGTAGATCAGAATCCTGTCGGAAGGCTCATATTTTTCTTTCGTACGAATTCTCGAGTATTCGGGCCGGTAGAGGGAAATAATTACATACGCCGTTTAATAAAGAAACGACCTTCTACTCAAATATGATTATCCATTAAAATAACATCTAAATTCATAATATATATATATATATATATATATATATATATATATATATATATATATATATATATATTGATAGATGTGAGCTTGACCTGGGTTTCACGCTTTGACGATCGCCAAAGCGTGAAACCCAGGGTCACAAACTCACATCTATCCAACCAAATATGTTAGCTCTATCTCTGATATTGAGCGCTTTCTAATAAGTACCGCGCATATAATATATAAATAATTATACATATATATATATTTATTTATATTTATATATGCTGTTCACACACACACACACACACACACACACACACACACACACACACACACACACACACATATATATATATATCTATTGCTAAATAAATCTGGATTAGCTCAATATGTAATATCTTACAATAAGAAAATGCAATCTAATAATCTATCAAAACAAAACAAGATTTTTGTTGAGTCTTCACAGAAAAGAGCGCACGGCTTAAGACGCATTGAAGATTGTACAATTTATAGGTTACTTGTACATATTACGGTGATTTTATTTATTTTATTCAGTGTTTAATTCTATAATATAATAATTCATATTTATTTTTAATTATTAGTATAGAATGTCAATGTTCGGTCCCATTTACGATTCAGTGTAAAACTCGAGTAACAGTGTAAATTGTCAATACCGTAGTTGTCTTAACTTATATATTAATCTGTTAGAAACAATCATATTCCATTAATATGGCTCTATAGTAATCCATACATACATTTGTATATGTGTCTTTACGCAAGCACGCAGATTCGCACATATATGGGGAAACATGAATATGTACATAATTTTATGGATATACTTTGATGCCGTTGGATTACAACAAATCTTAGAATGGATAGAAAAAAAAGCCAATATAAAATATGATGAGATTTTTTATGATAGTCTTTCTGCGAGGATAAAACAGAGGAGGTTGTTTATTTTATTTTCCAGGGCACCCCCTTTCCTTCGCTACCCTCTTTGGACTGTCCTTGAACAGAAAAGAATTGCGATTCTATTGTTGGTGATTTGCCAGAACAATTGAAACACCTCGGAATATGACGCCGCCGGTAGGGGAAGCAATGCAGAGAAGGTATAAGAATGATTCCTCTGGCGAAAGCGATTGATATAGTATTTGGACTAAAGAGACAAAAACAGAAAGTGAAAGTAGAATGTAAAGAAAGCAAAAAGAAAGAAAGACTTTTGTGCCGTAAATATTATACAAACTAAAAATATATTAAACTAGATAAAATGTATAAGCTCAAAAGTATGTGAAGTTGAAAGAATTAAGAAGTAATAATGATTGGCGGTAAAAGGGCAAATGAAATTAATAACGGCTGAAAGTACTTTAACTGAAAAAGAAAGGTGTAAACCTAGTTAAGTAAAAAAGACAAAATCTAGAGTTCATAAATTGAAGGAAAAACAAAGAAAAAAATGAAATGACGAAAAAAGCCAAACAAGGAAACAAAGACAGAAGAAGGAAATAAACTTCGAAAATCAATAAAAAAATTAAATAAAGAAAAAGAAATATCATAAAAGTAAACATTTTGATCGATTCAACTAAAGAAATGCAGTAAAAGAAATCATAAAAAGGAAATAATATAAAGAGTAAGAAGGATAAATGTATGGTTGTCAGCAATAGGAACAGCGCACAATGCGAATTACAAATTAGAAATGCCAAAATCAAGCAAGTATAAAAATTTAAATATCTAGGAAGTGTTTTAACGGAGAACAACAAGTGCGACACAGAAATCTGAAGGCGTGTTAGGAAAGCCAAAGATGCCTTCTAAAAGCTAAGTAAAATATTAAGCAAAGAAAAATCTCGTTAGAAACAAAGAAAAGAGTAAACTGTTATGTTGCTCTTCCTATATGTTAATGAATGATGGCAAATTTCATCACAGATTACGAAGAATCTTCAAGCAACAGAAATGCTTTTCAAATGAAAGATGCTGAGGGAACCATGATCAACCTTATCCTGAAGGAACCTGGCACATAGTAGTAGTAGTAGTAGTAGTAGTAGTCGTAATAGAAGACGAAGACTATCCTCTGATAGATAGAATAAATGTATTGCTTTATTTGCAATGGATCAAAAAGAAAGCGAAAAAGAAATAATATACAAAATGAAAGAATGAATAGAGCACCTGATAGAGTAGCCATTAGTATGTTAGTTTCACAGGCTATGAAGATTGGTGCGATTTTGAATGACCCATATAGGTGTTCTTTTACCAAATTAAAATGAGAGGAGTAAATATCAAAAACTTAATGAACGATTATAATGTGAAAAAAGAACAGAGAATGAAAAGAGAAAGAAAAAAAATGTGATTAAGACACAAAAATTAATTTCAGTTCAATCTTATATAAAAAGTGTATGTCAGAATAGCCCACTCTTCCATTTTGAAGCATACATATATACGAGCCTTTTGTTTTACATTTAATACGAAATAATTAGGGTATTAGAGGAGGTTAAAAGTATTTTCAACATATTTCTCCTCTTCATATACAGGATAAATTGTCGTCCAAATTACTAAAACAATGAAAATAATACTGAAATCTTATTTTAACATATATATTTACTAAAATTACACAAACATATCTTGATATATTAAAGAGTAGATGTATTCAATAAAATCACTGTTGGCTTCAACCACGGCCTCCAGACGACTTCGGAATCTCCTGCATCTCTTCTGGACGGTCTCCGTGTTTAAGTTGGTGAATGCCGCCATAATCCTTGCATTTATCTTCCCACATGGCCTCAGACTCAACACGGAGGCCTACATCAAGTGCCTTGAGGAGGCAGTGCTACTCTGCGTCAAGAGGGTGGCTGATGGAAGACCCTATGTCTGGCAAACAAGAATCTGCGTCATGCCACACAAGCAAGAGAACCCAGTCGTGGCCGTCAGACAATTTCTGCAACCACATCACCCTTTTCATCTGGCCACCCAACTCTCCAGACTGCAACCCCCTTTCTTCATCTATCTATCTATCTATCTATCTATCTATCTATCTATCTATCTATCTATCTATCTATCTATATAAACACGTATCAGACATAGCGGCATGTACAGAGATTAGGGATGTAGATCCAAGACTTTTCCAAGGTTATGAATAAGAAGTGAATATATAAATATTACGCGAGATTGGAATTCGGTTCGCCATCACTGTTTTCTTCACAGATAACCACTTTTAACTTCTCATCTATGTACCATCCTATAGACGAGAACACACACACACACACACACACACACACACACACACACACACACATATATATATATATATATATATATATATATATATGTCTGTATATATACAAATGTGCAATTGGTTTTGGTGGTAACTATAAATGTATATATAATAGATATGTATAACTACATATCTTTAGAAACAGTTCGAGATACGGACACACGATCGTGTCGGAAATGAATAGAATGCTTCAATTTCACGAGGTATTCACCGGCAACCCAGCCTAAGCCATTTTTGGGATTGTGCCCGCAGCACAGGTAGTCGCAGACCTAATTGCTTAGCCGCCGGTCGGTTTCTCAAATTCCGTTATGACTTATTTCCGATCCTTGGGGCTGGCATTCGACACATTTCAGAAAGAACGCCGCCCCGACAATAATGGTAATCAATAAGCAAAACGCACGCTAGCCATTTGTATGAATATGAACGTGTAAAATTTGATGCAGCAGCGTTCTTCCTATTCATTCAATTATTAATAGAATAGCCAGAAAATTAGGGAAACGCTGTTGGCCCTGTTTTCATTTGTAATATTTATGAACAATTTTATTTCTATCTAAGACAATTACAAAATAATCCTGAATGTTTCTTACTCTCTGTGTCTTTTTAACAAATATAGACCCAAAAATGAGACCCAAAAAGAAAAGTTACGCGCACAATTCAATTATAGAATTCATAATAATATATTTCTCTTCTTTTTATTGATTGATTGACTTGTTTTTTACGGTTTATCAACCCTTTGTGGGTTTTCTAAAAGCGAAACATATTTTTGATCGAAGGAATAATTCTTTTTTTGCGAGTGAATGTAGAATTAATATTTTTCTTTTAGAATAAGAATGATTTTTCCAGATACATTTCCTGCTATTTAACCCATAGCTGTGGTTGGGAGTATGGATTAATATCTTTCCCATTCTTTTTTTTTAGGCTTTATCCTTTATATTATATTTCTGATACGTTTCCAATTCCTCTTTTATTAATGTTTTTAGTTTTCTGTTATTGTAGATAATCCTTTCTTTCCATTCGAAATAAATTTCATAGAACGTCCGATAAAACCTTTTTTAAAATAAATCTCTGTATATATATATATATATGTGTGTGTGTGTGTGTGCGTGTGTATTTATGTGTGCATGTTTGTGTGTGTATATGTGTGGGTGCGTACATTCTTAAGGATATAAATGTGTATTCTTTTTTCTCCCAGCTTAATCCGTCTGCTTGTAGCAAAAAAAAAAAAAAAAAACACAGCTCACTAATACCCTATTTCAATCGTTTTCTTGTTCGAATGTTTGTAATGAACAGTTTTTCTTTCAGAACATTGTTTTCATCATTGGTTTTTTTTTTTGCAACTTCCCAGACTGCACTTTAAGAACGTTTACTGCAATTATGGCCACCATGTAATATACAGAATGGGAATAGTTTGATTTTTAAACTTTCACTCTCTAATATTTTCTCTGTTCTCTGTTATTCGTTTTCTTGTGTTCCTTAAGGCCAAAGTCATAAATTAATGAGATATTTGAAAACATTTTTGCGTGTTAGATATTATAAGTTTGATCTGGTTTGATTAGTTTTACGGTATATCAAGTTTTTCCAGGCTGCATATTGTCACTTTAATAAACAAGAGAAACGTGAACATGTTCGGCGTACATGAGTGTCAAAAGATAGACAGAGTTTAAATGTGATTTACGCGAGAATCGAAAAGGTAGACATGGGTTTGATTTGCGCAAAATTCTAAAGGGAAATCAGCTGGTGCATTCTTCGTCCCAGGAGGGTGCTATTTACGTAACAAAAATGAAAACAAAACAATTCACATTGAATAAAAGCAAACACTTTATCCATCATTCTCGAACTTTTTACAGCTTTTTATGAGCGTTTTTATTTGCAAGTAGATTGCAGTTTTTCAACTCTATGTCCAGGGCCTCGATCGTGAAACCAAGATAGGCCGGGCAGCTATCTAAAATCAGCCGATTAACAGAAGCTATTATTCCGTAAGGTCAAATAGTTGTGAATAGTCAGTCAGTTATGCGCCATTCGTGATACACGCTAAGGCGATCATGTATCTTTCGATACATAAACGACAAGGCAGATTTTTTCCTGCTGTAGGTTGCCATTTCTTTCTGCGGTAGACCAGTTACTATCCAAGGCTATGGAACCAGGTCTGTTCTGCTATTTACCCATAGCTGGGGTTGAGGGAGAAGAAGAGGATTTATACCTTTCCCAAGTGAGAAAGTGAATGTAATGGATTTGACTGGAATTCGAACTCGGCTCTCCGATTCCTCAATCCGAGACGGGAACATAAAAACGGACAAACCTAACACTTCGATACGTATCATAATCTCAAAATTCCCAACTTCTTTATCATCTGCTGTAAGATATTTTGGTATTATCCACTAATATTTGTTTTATGCTGGTTGTTACATTTTGTCATTTCCTGATTTACTCGTCGATCTTTCAATCTCCACAAAAGTTAATATTTACTGTTTATTTATTCTTCTTTTAAGTTATGTGCCATGTGTGATACACGCTTAGGCGATCATGTAGCTTTCGATACATAAACGACGAGGCAGATTTTTTTCCCGCAGTAGGTTGCCATTTCTTTCTATGGTAGACCAGTTGCTATCCAAGGCTATCTCATAGCTGTGGGATGAAGAAGAGGATTCATGCCTTTCCAAAGGATACTAGCACGTAAGTGAATGTAATGGATTCGACTGGAATTCGAACTCGGTTCTCCGACTCTTCCACTGAACAGTATTGAAACTAAAAACGCTAATCAGCCTATGAGCCAAGACGTCAAGTCTTCATCAGCCCACAAACACACCTGCCTACCGGTATTTTGCCCATTGCCTTGGTAGTTCAATCCGTCCCGTACATGGCTCGTCACCTTACACCTTAACCCTTTATATACAAAGGATTTCAGTTGTTAATGATCATTTTGGATGCGCGAGTAGCATAGCGGTTATCGGCATGGAAAGTGGAATCGTCGCGCCAGGTTCAAATTCCGAAGAATTACCCCTGGGAAAGGTATACGTCCATCTATTTCCCCTGTAGATATGTGTTAAATAGTAGGGACTCTCCAGCCTGAGCTAACAAACAGTCTCGGAGAAAAAAAAAACTTCGAATTAAAAACTGACTGTGGGTGGGGCTGGCAATTTCATCCCCCACTCCCCGCCTAAAAAAAATCTACTTGCTACAGAAAGCACAGCAGAACCATATAGCGCGGTGAGGCTGTGGACTTATACACAACAGAAAAGCATAAGGTCACAAATAGGAAGAGGAAGCGAATGGTTAATTGTTTGTAGATATTTCCATTACTTTAGGGCCACACAGGCGGTGTACTTATTACAGATCAAACTCACTAGTAGTAGCTTCTAGCCACTGTTCAATACCGGAATCCTATAATCATTTCGTTGTATTTGTTTTAGCGCCCCTTTTAAATGATCATTACTAGCTTCGCATGCCATTGCTAGTGTGTTTATTCCTTGTTATGTAGTCCAATGAATATAGGCTGGTGCTGGTGTCAAAGTTGTCTTATCTTTGATGTGCCCTGTGAGTGTTAAATTTTCCAATCTTTCTTTCCTCATTTTGTACCGCAAAATTCAACAATTTTCTTCTAGTTCCTATTCTCTTTAGAACTTCTGCATTTGTCACGTGCCCTGACTGTTCTACATTTCTTATGTTAGAATGACATGTCAGTCGCTCGAAGTCTTTTTGCGGGGAAATTGGTTAACAGATATTTCCATGATTTATTGGGAACAACTAGTAGAGGCATAAAACGATAATCTTACAAGTTTGTCAACTTATTCCTTATTGGTCGTCTCATGACTCAGGCTGTACGTTGAAATTGGTTATGTCCAAAAAAATGTACATTATTTAGAAAGTATTTTTTATCAACAACAGAGACACACAGTAGTATAAAGCTTTTCTAAACAGCTGCAATTTATCGAGCGTTAAGAGTTATTTTTCGTTTCTACCACTGGATAAAAAGATAACCCCATTCCATTTAATCTTGCACTTACGCTCTTGTAAAAATGCTGTTTTTTATCATTTCTTTTGTTCTACAGATTCTTTAGAAATATTTTCTGAATGAATGCCTGATGTTAGAGCTCAGTTGCAGAACACTGAATTCATAACGCATAAGAAGGGCAAAATTGAATAAGTTACTTTCGTTGACAAAAATCATCAACAAGGAAGGAGACGGCAAATTAAGAACTTTCACACACACCACACACACACACACACACACACACACACACATATATATGCCGTGCGCCAAAGGTTTAGGGGTAGAATCTCCGACTGACGCCGATTCAGCCAGGTTTCGATCCTAGCTAGAGGTAACGTCTAGTCACACTGATGAGCTGTGATACAGTGAAACAGTCTGTCTGTGGACGACAATATATTATAAATATATATATATAAGTGGACATTGAAGTCAACATCCAGTGGCAACAGTCTGTTTCATGCTTATATCCAATCGTCAAGCCATACGTGTTGTGTTTTTGCTCGGCTATTTATTTATATACAGTTATGCATTGTGGGTAATCTACTGTATTGTTCTAACGGTTGTTTTTGTGGGCGTTAACGGCTGTTTGAAATTATTCTCGGGGCTATTGGTGGAAATAACTTTGAATCCGGATACAGTCTAAAACAATATTTTATCAATTTTTCAACAAGACATAAGTTACATTTATTTCATTTCCCGTTAAAAGGTTTAGCTCTAGTTATTATACCCCAGTTGATTGATGGTGAGATTAGGACTAATTCTTTGCTAGACTTACAGCAGCCATTAACGGGTTCGCGGTGATAGACGAGTAAAAGTACAAATTGGATGAATGTACATTCATTCTTCTTTTTTTATTATTAGTAAACCATTCAGTGGCTTCTGCTGTCATGTTCCACTAGTTAATTCCTAGAGCATTTTTGGTGTATTTGCATGCTCTTTTAAGGATGTTTTTGCTGATTTTACCGATATTATTTTTAGTTTGACTAATCAGTATTGAGGGTTGTTTAGGAAATTTGCATTGTGGTCTTTAACTTTGATGCATGCTTATTGTTTGTGGAATTTGTGGATCCTATGTTCAATTTTTAATTCAGTGGCCATTTTGTTGGTTTCACTAATGATGAAAGTTTCCCAGTTGCCTTTTTTATGAAACTTATTAACTTTCCTGTTGATAGCTTTAACGGTACATATCCACATCGATTGTATAATGGTTACCCGTCATATCTGCTTTGATAATGATTTTGCCGGATTTTTTTTTATCATAGAAACGTTTTTTAGCATTTTTGCTGTAGATAGTTGGTAATATTAGTAAATTCAATTTTGTCTATTACAGAGAATAGATCTTTTTCGAAGTTCAATGACACATTGTCGCATGGAAGTATTTTTTGGGACTTCAATCCGTAAATTTTGGCATCTTTTAAGCTGTTATTCTCGTTCTTGTGTTTAGAGAAGAAGAATTTCCACCTCATTCTTTTTGTGACGTTCACGATCTTGTGTAAAAGGATCAGATTATAAGAACATTTTTCAGGAACCATGATATTTTTAGTGGAGTAGTGAAAGTTAACTGGTTCCATATTCCGATAATGGCATATATGTGTGTGTGTGTATATAAAACGAACAATTAATCCCCCCTTAATAAAAATTAATATTAACCACTCTAAAATAAAAAAAAAATCATTAATTTTTCCTTACACATGTATATATAAAAATCCCGTTTATTTAAAATGCCAAATACAATTTTTAGTGTAATCCCAGTATAAAATATATCTACGCCAATAATACGATAACAAGATATAATTTTTAAGATTTAAATTACGTAACGGCCAGTCTATACTCTATAATCAGCACCTGAAGATTTCGTTGTACAAGAAACTCTGAGTCTTGCTATCGTTGAGGAAAAATATGTATATTTATTAATATTTATGTATCAGAACTTTTATTACCGGAGCAATTTAAAATTGGGTTCGAATCTAATCACTCCTTCAAATCATTTTGTATTGTAGATCTTCTGTTCACCAGGCAACGCAAACAGGTTCACACACACACACACACACACACACACACACACACACACACACACACACATCTCTCTCTCTCTTTCTCTCTCTCTCTCTCTATATATATATATATATATATATATATATATATATATATCAAGTGCGAGAGACAGTGAAAGAGAGATAGAGGGAGAAAGTGAGAGAGTGAAAGACAGAGAGGGAAAAAAAGACAGAGAGGAGTGAAAGACAAATTATTGTCTAATAGTTTCATTCGTAAGAACGTCTCTAAAATAACCCAAAATAAACATTCAGTACTTACCACAGGAAAGAAAAACTCCAACCGAAAATATTTCACTTACCTAAAAAGGAAAAGACAGAAAGCTTAGCAGTATGAAACTAAAAAAATCGTTTTAAAAGCCTTGACAATACATACACACACTCACATTGTGTATATATATATATATATATATATATATATATATATATATATATATATATATATATATATATATAAGTGATAAGGATCAAGTAACTAAAATATGTTAAAAAAAAATAACCATTTTAAGGGTTCTAATATTTCTCACCAGCAGAAATATATGCCAACAATGGTGAGTTTCTTTGAGAGCTAAGGAAGGTTGCTGAAATGTTACAACAGTGACCATGTCAAAGCGTAACTCTCTGTTTACTTAAAAGGACCAAGAAAAACAAAAAAAATATTAGATATTGTGTTTTCATGCGTAAAGATTTTCCTTGGACACCTATAAAAGTGCAGCTTATAGATTAAGTACATCGAATAGATATCTGTGCAGGATAATTAATGGAACAAGAACTTTTATGAGCTTACTGTAGGCAATATTTTCCAACACAAGCAAGGATTTTACGCACGAACATGAAAAATATCAAAAACAAATCCAGCATTTATCTAAAGCCTTTTTTGGCAGTAATGAAGATGATGCAAAATGCAGATATTAATAAACTTCCTTTGTTAGGAAGAAAATACAAGTGTTGCTTGTAGCGGAGACAATTATAACAAAGTTAAGTTATTATGAACAATGCACTTAAATCCTGTTGCCATTGCGAATCTTTTAATTCTTAGTTAAAATATATTCACGAAATGTTTAGTTAATGTCTATGCAATGAATCTTAGGAAAAATATTTTTTAAAATATCGTCTTACACAATGAAAAGGTCTTTTCATTTAGAAAAGTTTACTTATCTCGATGACAGACGAAAGTGGATAAGTGAGGCGAGCATTTCTTCGATTGTTTACATAATCATCGAGTGAACTTAGTCGTAAGCACATTATTTGTCGTGATTTTTTAATCATAATAATTGGTGTTTCTTTTTAAATTGTTGTTTAATCTATTGTTTATAAAATATCCAAAACCTTTGACAAACGATACTGGTCACAACATTTTAACTTGTGTTTGACATTTAATCAGAATTCAATGAATATATTTCCATTGGGTTTCTCACTGAATAAAGATATACACATTGGCCACAGTTTAACTCGTTTGAACCCAAATATTAATATTTCAGAACGAGGCTTATTGTTGCTAAATTGCAAGGTGGAATTCTCTAGCATTGAATTCTAGTATCAACAGTGAATCACGTGATTAGAAAGGTCCCTATTAATCGGAAAGTCCCTATTAGTGAATGTAAACTGCTGTTTCTAGTTTAGGTTATCATATCTCCAGTCAAATATGATTTTTTAAAATTAAGATATAGGAATCAAACTGAAGTAGCAGTAGTTCAAAATATTTTGAGTGTATCGGGAATATTAATTCCGAAACATACTTACCCAGATTTATTAAACAAATATGTCAAAACTGCCATTCATTCAACTAAGCACATTTCACAGCACTTCTTAAAACCATATGTAAGTTGTTATGAATAATCAAGAGTGGTCTCCTCTTGCTTTGTTACTCTCCTCTTTGAGAGAGCTATTTCTGTTTACTGGGACTATAAAAGGACACTATACGCGAACCTTGTATTCTTCTTAAAGCTTACACCTGCGTACTTTTGTCATTACATAAGCATTATATACTAAACTTTCCATAGAAAACATAAATATATCAATATTTGCTAACGTTGGGTTTGTTACAAGGACATATGTAGGAGGTAACCGGTAAGATTAGAAGTCACTAAAAATGAGAGCCACTACTCTACGATCAAGTGTCCAAACATAGTGAATATATTCATTCAAAAAGTGGAATATTCTTGCCATAAAACAAAGATTAAATGTAGTTTGTAAATTATTTTAACTTAATATCCTAAAAATGTCCGCCTCACGTAGGTTAGGTGCCAGTATCTGATCACCTTGGGCTAGAATATGTGATTATAATTCCATTAATTATTTATCTATTCAAAGCAAACCGAGAACATCGTTTACAGAAATATGAATGAAAAAAGAAATGAAAATCCGTAGAGGATTGTGTAGCCATGGAATATTGCAATTTCTCAAATTGGTTTTGACAAGTTTCCATACTGTTTGTATTTTGTGCAGGGAAAATTCTTTTAGTGTTAAAGAATTAAGGGAAGCTTTACTTAAAGAGTAATGCTTGAATATTCCTAATAATTCTTTAAAAGCATTGTAATGCTCAAACTATTTTAATAACCACCAACTACTTACAAAACTGTAGAGATTAGATAAAAACAAAGAATTTCATAAAACAAAAAGAGAAGAATATATTTTAGCGATAAGAAAAAAGAGAAAAATGCAATTGCTGTTATTTTTGTCATTTTATATTAATAGCTGCGAATTTGTCGGAAATCACATTTTCATGAATCCATGCGAGATTTCCGACATTTATTTTGTCAGTCAATCCTTAGTTCCAATCAAGTCTTGCAACATTGCAAAGTTGAATGATTACTACGATTTGCTAATCATTTAATGTTCGTCTTAGAACTTCATTTGCAATACATTTGATTCACTTCTATGACTAGGATTCATTGCGGACGCTCACATTTAATTGTCTTTGTTGGCAATCGAATCAGCTATTCCGTTCCAATTCGTTTTCTATTCCATTACTGTTCTTTAATTCTATACCAGCAGATGATGTAATTTTCTGCCTTTCTTGTTCAACACAGCATGGCTTCCTAAACAATAGCGATGGCTGAGACACTCGAAAAACTAACAGAAAATATTTTTTAGATTGGAAAAATAAAGTTTTCTTTATTGTTTACTTCATCTTTCTTTGTTCGTTTTTTTTTCTTTTGTTATTTAAATATTTCTTCTTTCTTTCGTTTATTCGTTCCATATTTTTTCTTTCTTTCTTTTTTTGGCTTTTCGTTCGTTTCTTTCCTTAATTAGTTCGTTTGTTTATGCAATCTTTCTTTTTTTTTTCTCTGTTTATTTATTCTTTTCTTTTTATATTCGTCCATTTGTTCGGCTAAACCTTCTTTTATTCTTTAACAGGAGACATCTTTAGGACATTTAAATTAAGTACTGTTTCTTTCATTGTTATTCTTATCCCTCATTTGCCTTCTTCGAAATCTGCCAAGGAATTTATTCAACATACTCATGGGCACCTCGACATAATGTAATGGTGAACAAGCTGATCTCATAGATGAATTAGCATCAAAATCGATCCTAGTCACACTATACTTGTGAACATGTGCCGCCTTAAAGCGACGCTTACTAAATAACCTCCCCAGATTACCTGTTTCGAAAAAGGATTAAGGTTGTTCGTATTGGAGTCTTACTGTCACCTCACATTGAAACACCGGTTCCCGTACGACTACAGAAAGTTAAGCAATGTCGGGCCTGGTTAGTACCTAGATGGGTGACCGCTTGGGAATAACAGGTGCTGTAAGCTTGGATGTGCGGATGGTGTAGTAAGTAAATGTTCGGAATTGTTAATCGTAGAACCGATTTCCAATTCCCGTTTGGTTCGTTATATTCACTTCCGCGCAAGTCCTGGGATCTAACGGCATGTCATCAAACGATCGTATCTTGGTTAATCTAATCGGGGAGTTTGGGCTCGTCGATAGATACCGGTTCGATCATCCGGGGTGGAAGATATGGACGTGGTCTCTTAAGTGGCCGTCTCTCCGGGTAGCCAGTTACCTGGACAGAATGTTAATTAGAAGGGTCGCTCTAGATTTACTAGATTGTCCCACGTTCCACCGGTTAGACTATTCGGGGCTTAGACTCGTCTGTGCCCGGGTAGTGTTAGGTTTAGAGTGGTTAGATACTGGAAGTTCAGTCTGTCTTTACCGGATAGGCGGGACTTCAGGCAACAACTGACTAGATTAGTGCAGCGGGAACTAGTTGGGGCGGTTATTGGAATTAAGTGGTGGGATAGGCTTACGGATAAGATTAGGTCTTTCATCATCGAATACAGCCAGCGACTCGCTCTAGATAAGGCTAAGATGGTAAACACTCTAGAGGATAATCTGTCCCGAGGGAAGAGATTCGTCGAGATACCGTTCGATACATTCACAAGAGGGACGTACTTTGAGATTGACCAAGGGCATGTGTGGAGCGTTTCAGCGGCATTTCAAGAGCTGATTTGCCAAGGTGCCTAGTCTTTGTGGCAAAGAATTTCGCAGTTATTTGGCTGACTTTCCTCGGTTTGAGACGACTGAAGCGACAATCTGCGTGGGAGAGATCACAGAGGTCGAAGTTCACTTGGCATTGAAGAGGGCCGGCGGTGGCAAGTCTGCGGGTCTTGATGGTCTGCCTTACGAACTGTACTTGAGGCTGTCGTACATCTTTGTTCCGATTTTAACAGTTGTGTTCAACAACTGCTTCCATCCCCAATCGAAACTTCAGGAGTGTGATCGCGCTGTTGAAAAAAGGCAAGAAGTTTTTGGCGGGAATTAGATTACAATAGACCCTTAACATAATCTGCTGAACACAGAATTAAAGATTTTGGCCAAGATCCTGACGGAGCGTTTGCAGTCAGTTGCCGAGATTCTGTTGGGACTCGAGGAGATTTGTGCTGTGAAGGGCCAAACAATTCAAAGCAACCTGCATCTGGTCTACACGGTCATAGAAGGTGTAGAAGATGACGATGAAGCCACGCTGACAAATTAGTTCAGTCCAAGGCATTCGATAGGGTCGACCATCAGTACCTGGCTGCTGTCCTACAGGCCGCCGGATTTGTCGCACCCGACTTCTGGTAGACAGATATCTAGTCATTATCTGAGCACTGGCGCAGATGCACACACGCACACAAAACAACCATACATATATAAATACCTACACACACATACACATATCTATATTTAAATATTTAAATGCGTGTTTTATAGCTATTTTTCAAGCGTAGTTTAGATGTGGCACAAGGCCGAAAGTATGGGGCACTCAGTGAGGATCGAACTCACTACTCAGTTGTAATTATTCTCGCTTGCTAACCATTACACCACCTCAAGGTGCCCAAAATGTATGCTCTGATCGTTTCTTTTAAAAGTTGTTTCCTTTTTATTTGCAGGGCGTGAGATAAGTGATAGTGAGTTCGATCCCCACTGGGTGCCCATAGAAATTTTGGCCTTAAATAACACAACAAGAGTTGACATGTAAACTTTCCTTTCTGATAAGCGTATATGTATCTTTTTTGATAACTATCTTTTTCCTCCTTTCTTTTGCCGCTCTTTTCTTTGTGGGCCACCTCGGTATGGAGTGAATAGTTAGCGCGCCTAGTCCTGTTGACCTTTACAAATGAGTAGTGAGTTCACTTCTCACTGGGTGACACAATACAAAATTTCAACTTTAAATAACCCGACACGGATTATCTCGTAAAATCAACCTCTTTCTTTCTTTCTTTCTTTCTTTCTTTCTTTCTTTCTTTCTTTCTTTCTTTCTTTCCACCCCCTTTTCATTTCTCCTTCCTTTCTTTTTACTTCGCTTTCTATTGCCTTTTTAGTTTCCCTTTTTATTTTCTTTCTTTGCCTCTTTTTCTTTTTTCTTCATTTTTTATCATGTAAAATCTTTTCACTACTTCTTCCTTCTTTCAATGTATTTTTAAATTTATTTTGATTATTTTATCTGTAATTTCTTTATTTCTTTTCCTAAATCAATAACATTACTTTTTCCCCAACGTCAATAGAATCCATTAACTTATCTTTATTCTTTACTACGCACACCGATGTTTTTTTTTCTATTTGACAAAGAACCTGGCCATTTCTACTTTCGCTTTATTCCTCACCTATCAGTCTTATTGTCCGTGTCTTTCCTTTCAGACCTTCTATCTTTCTTAACACCCTTTTTCCTTTTCATCAACAATTCAAAAAAGCAAGCGGAATTTCTTTTCTTTTTTTTTTCAATTCCCAGTTTGCACTCCCCATTTACGCAAACAAGATCTTCAGCTTCCAACTGCTTAACGTGTCAGAATAGTTTCAAGTACATCTTTACACGTCAGCCAATCCTTCTGGCCTTACCTTCCAGATGTCGTCCCTCACACTGTATTTGAATTCCTTCCATAGAGTAATTGCGTTTCTAGCGTTTTCTCTTCGCTCATATCTCAATTTGCCTTCATTATCGTCCAACGTCTTGGCATGATAATGCTGATCTTTCACAGGCAAAAGCAAAAAGCGTCATCATGTGTGTCGATGCATATGTTTGTATATGTGTGTACATGTGTATGTTTTCGATTAAGGAAGTACAATAAAAAAAAGTGGTCGACCACAGAGATTAATAGATCTATTTATCTATCTAATTTTCAAATGTGTTTCGTCAATGCAAAATATTTGAAAAGACCAACATTGCGTTATCTTTGCCCTCGCGTGTTAAGTTAAATTAAGATTAATCGTCAACAGAATTGAGTGTTATATGTTCCTTATAATGTTTTACGTAGTCAAATATATTTTCATTTCAGAAATAAATCATGTAGAAATTGTCCTAATGTTTTGTATGTCCGAATGTTTTATGCATGTATTTAGAGGTATAGGGATTCAATTATTCCTATACCTCTCTCTCTCTCTCTACATATATATATATATATATATATATATATATATATATATATATATATAAAACAAGCTATACATTCTGATAAAATTAAAAATAAAATCATCCCTTAAACTATAGCCGAAAGCACTCGAATATACAAAACATTCGTCCAGAAAATAAAAAATTATAAGAACACAGGAAAGAAATTTGAATGACCAATGCGCGGTTTAATTAATGAGTTTCCTTTATATTTTTTAGTCGTTCAGTGGTATCGATGATTCATTGATTACTCCTGGTATTTTATAAAATGGTTTTGCTCAATATCTTTCCATTTTAACAATTTTATCTGTTAATGTAACAGTGAAATGGAAATATCTCTCTGAAGAAAAATATTGGGAATCGAACGCTAAAGACGCGGACGTCAAAGCCTATTTCATGACCAAGTTGAAGCAAGACAATCACTAAATAGACAAAGTTATCTGAGTGACTCACATGAAAAGCTTGAACAAATAGGACTGCAATCTAAGAAACGTGAGCGTAAAGGAACTGATTAATTAAACGTTTCATTTTGCTCGATAAGTAATTTTGTCTAAATTCTGATAAATACTTGTATAGATTATTAAAACGATTAAACGAAGTAATCACTAATAAATTTACTAACTTCAGTTGATTTATTACCCTTCTTCCCACTACAGAAAGGGCAGGAAATATATAAGTAAATACACGTGAGAGACTGTCAGTGAGGGATTATCCTTTTCTGTTAGGCAGCGTCAATTATCTATGAATCTATGAATGTGTATGTATTGTATTCGCATCAAATCTCTTATTGCACACTGATGTTCACACAATCAATTTTAGAGATCCTGTCATTGTGTGTTAATTATTTTGGAAGACACAAACTAACAACATCTATCGTTCATATGGAAATAAGTATCTTTTATCTGTTCATGAAATGTATGCTCCTCGTTCACATTCTACCAAACATCGTTTGATAGATGATTTTTTCCCGGGGTACAAGGCTAATGACCTCAAATGAAATGCGCAGCGTTACTGAGGAACATTACAATATCGCTTACTGGTCGTCTTTGTGCTATATGTAGATGCTTATTCTATTTGAGTTCGTCTGCTACAAGACTAAGTGGTAGGATTGTCCTCAAGGACATGTCACAGTGGATAAAGTTGTTAGATCCAGTCTGAGTTACGTTTGCAGAAAATTCTCTGTAAATCCTTAACGAATAAATAGTTACTTGTTTGTTTTCTTTAAACGTGGCAAATATTAAACTATTCATAGTAAATATCATTAAAAACTTACTTTAAATACTTGTAAACACAGATTTATGTGTATTGACGTAATATTTTTCTTTTAAAATTTTCGAGAAATCAAAGGAAGTTTTCTTATGCAAAACTATCATATGCATTCACTATTGAAAAATGTACAGGTTGAAATGTTGTGTGTCTAATATAATGTTGATAAATAAGAGCTGATGATATAAACTTTCAGCAATGTTTTCATATCAATATTTCTGGCTTTTAAAAATATTTTTATTGAGTTCTGATATCTTGAATCGTGTATAAATATGAGCGTATGTGTGTACGTAATGCATTATTCATTCTCTTGGAGAAGAATGTGAGTTCAATACCCGGCTAAGGCAGTGGAGAACTTTTAGAGGGAAAATTAACAGGAGATAACCGATAACTGATATCCATTAAACATGGCACGTGGAACTAGAACAGTCTATCCCAGTGAGCGAAAAAAAGGATTAAGTTCGACCATCTGAAGAAGGCCGGAGCGTACAACGGCCGAAACATTGTAATAAATATAGCGAAAAAGATAAGGACAATAGTCCGAATAATGTAAATAATGTACATAATACCTCATCTCAGAAATATAGACAGATACGGTAGGGTTAAAGTTCAAAGTAGAAAATCTATCTTCCTTGAAAATGAACATTCAAAATACTTTATAATGGGCCCGAACTCTGATCATCTAGGCCTGTGGGAAGGGCGCGAGTCTCTCAAATACGAAACAGGGCGGATTCGTCCTTTAGAGCCACAAGTTGTGACGGAGGATGACTGTCTTTTTGGAAAAGACACTGAATTATGACAATGTTAATACACTTTAATTACATGTTCAATTATTTCAGGCGCTGGTGTTGATTGGTTTTTCATTCTTTTTGCAGCTAATAGTGATTCTAATTCTGAAGAAAATACGAACATTGACGTTTAGTAAATTCCATACAGTAAATTCAGGCGAAATGATAGAGTTGTATCGCCTTTACTCTTTTATGATTTTTTCTGATGCTTATATGTAAAAAAAGATTTCGCTACACGTAAATCAGCATGAAAAGAGTTGTCAACAATTGGATCGAATATGAAAAGTCTGATGTTAATATTGAATTTAATAACAAAACAGAAAGAGAAACATCGCTACTCTATTAACATTTAAATTTTATATAATGCATAATTTCATTTTTCAGTGAACAAATTCAAAAATTTTAACATCAATTTTACGCTATAAAGAGAATTATTTTAAAAAAATTGCACCATTATAAAATAAGATTGTGAGAGAAAAATACGATCTGTAAATGAGCTTTGTTCAGAGCAAAATCTCATGAAAATTGGATGAAAACCTCCATGAAACTGAATATGGATGTAAATAACATAACTAAAGTATTTGGTTTTAGTTTTAAGGTAACTGTACAATTGTAGTGCTCAATATCAAGAGATAAAGCATCAGTCATCGTCGGCATCGGTCCGTCCCGACAGACGATGATGTAGCGCAGTGCGCTACAAGCCTAGGCGGGATATATGGAGAACTAGGGCTGCCCGGACGTCTAGTTCCCCCCTTTCAGCCTTGCTAACAGAGTCCAAAGGTGAGGATAAACTAATACAGTTTGGTACCAACGCGGCTGCAGGAGTTGACGGAACGTAGCACAAAATGCCGTCCATCCGCCTTAGGGGCTCCACTCCGGGTTTGAATTCAGTTGTCCTTCTCCTAGACCAGTTGCCATCCAAGGCTATAGAACCCAGTATGTCCTGCTATTTACCCATAGCTGGAGGGAGAAGAAGAGGATTCACACCTTTCCTAAGTGTATTAGCACGTAAGCATCAGTACTAATAAATAAAAACAAATGTTCACTTATCTTCTCCTTACTATTTTTAATATTTAGTCTTTTGAGTGAATAACGTTTTCGCGAAATTTGGTGTAGGCACAAGATAAGAGAACATTTAACTTTATTTATAACTATATATGTTTTCGTTGTAATGTTCGTATAAGCTCGTAGTTCTGTTTAATAAAGTTCTAAGGAAAACACTGGAACAATAAATTAGTGGAAAAGTGTTTAATCACGTCGATTAATAATACAATAATAGCAAATACCGTAGTTAGTGCGGCAATGCGTGCGACCCACTTTGCGACTCATTCACCCATGAGCTGACGTTCGTCTCATAGTGAATGAAAGAGTCTATAATCAATAATTTAGTGTAGAAATGGTCGGTCGTCTGTCTAAACAACACACACACACACACACACACACACACACACACACACACACACATATATATATATATATATATAATATCATAAAGAAACAATTTATCCAAAGAATTAAATAGCAAGTTAAAGTGACTAATAGTGAAATCATTTCGCTAACAGAACTTAATCAGATATTAACTTACTATCAATTCCTTGAATAATAAAATCCTTATATTCGAGTTGTTGTCAGATGTAAAACTCATACCAAGCACTTTCGACAATTTCAAATTGTTATCTTCAAGGCGCAATTTTCTTGTTTATTTGAAATTGTCGAAAGTGCTTGCTTGCTTGCTTGGCATGTGTTTTCACCTGACAACAACTCGAAGGACTTTATTATTCAAGGAATTGATAGTAAGATAATGTTTCATTAAGTTCTGTTAGCGAAGTGATTTCACCATTAATCACATTAACCTTGCTATTTAATTCTTTCTATAAATTGTTTCTTTATGATATAAAATGAATTTCCCAACTCTGAAATTCTTAGGTGTGTGTAAATGACCCCGGCACCCAACTTATTTTTTTAAACATCGACAGATTGTATATACTACAAAAAAAATTACAAAATATTTTTTTTAAAGTTAGATAAAATTTGATGGCATTATAATCTATCATTTATTGAAGAATTGGTTTATTATGTGCGAAGTAGCCAGATTGCATTTTTTAATGTCATATACGTTCAGGTGATCATGGTTCTCCACAGCTTTCTTTTTCTCTAGTATCTGTGTATTGGCAAGATTGTTTTCTAGAAAAGTATTGTAATAGCTTCCTGTTTCAAACAAGTGAAACTTGATTTGCAGAATTTCCACTCAAGTTTGAGCAAAGAACTAACCACTTTCTTTTTGAAGTCTAAGGAATGTATATTTAAAACGTTGGATATATGTAAAACAACTTGACGGATATTTGTTAAAAGAAAAATTATGGACATTGCAAAGAAAACATCATAAGACATTAAAAACAAAACAAAACCCAGATATTTAAGAAATCTGATAAAAGCCTTGTAAGTAGAAATAAACAGTTTTTGCAATATCATAGAAGACTAGAGGCACCTCGAAGTGGTGTAATGTTAACAAACTTGTCTTGCTAGCACAATTACGACTAAGTAGAGAGTTTAATCCACACGGAGTGCGCTATATTTGTGCCATGTTTAGAAAATCCCCAGAAAGCCAGGGTAAATGATGATTACATAATGAGTTTAGGAACTTATATTAATGAAAAAAAAAAGATGTCAGAAATTCTGGAAACTTTTTAATAACTGAAAAATGTTTGAAGAAACTGCATTTGGAATGTGACACGCGCTGTGGATTAAAATGCTCAGCTCATTATCTAAATCTAACACGAGTGGGAAAAAAGGACTTTTATTTCAAACTCATAGTAAATAATTCAAAAATAGCTAAGGATAAAGAAGAGAAAAAATAATGTAGGTGTGAAAACACGTCTTTAAATTGATGATTACATATTCAGTGTTTTTCTTGTGTTCTTTCATATGTTTGGGTGACATTATACCTTTATCATAACGTGTAATTTCAATCACCGTTTCCTTTAGTTGCTCGAGTCTGTTCATAATGATTAGTTTTTGTCAATATTTAGTTCGGCTAACTTGCATGTTTACGTGTTCAGAACTGGAACTCATCCACGGTTGTTCAGTTTCATCCCAGCGTTGTATCGTAGATATTACAAAATGTTTATAGGCTCAAATATAAACTAATATTTACCTATCTCCAAAGTAAATAAATGCTTTTAGACTCAAATAGAAAAATTCGAAATGACATAACCCAGCAATGGTTGACATTTCGTAATATTATTCAATCCAACGCTGAGCAGAATTACGTTAGTAGGCTTTTAGCCATTTTGCTTTCACGTTCTCACTTTGACACGGCATCGAGACGATATGCAGGTGGGCCATAATGCGCTGACAATAATCGACAACCATTAAGTTCCATTTTCATTATTGGGCAACCAAATTCCAAAACGACCGTCTTTGAAGTTCTAGAGTTAGCTGACCAAGGAAAATTCCTTTTAAACTTTCTTTTTTTTTTCACTAGAAAAGACCCAGTTAAACTTAAAACACCCAAAATGAAGAGCAAATTGATCTGACCAGATATTCAAGAAGAATTTTAGTTTGTAAAAGCAGTATGAATAGCAACGTTTATTAGAGAAGCATCAAAATCATTTCCGAAGTTTTACAAATATTTACACTGAAGTTTATTTCATGTATACATCTAATAACGCCACGACTTCACTACATTATATATATATATATATATATATATATATATATATATATATATATATATATATATATATATATATATAAAAGTGAACATTGAAGTCAACACTCAGAGGCGACAGGCTGTTTCATGCTAAACGCAATCATCAGGCCACGACGACTGCGTCTAGCATGAAACAGTCTGTCACCTCTAAGTGTTGACTTCAATGTTCACTTTTATATTTACATACGCACTCTGATGTTGAGCAATTTATCTCATAAATATAGCATACCTTAAAACTATATTTCTTCATATGTGTGTGTGTGTGTATGCGTGTGTTTGTTTGTTTGTTTTAAAATTAAGATACAAGATCCCGACAAAATTTTACATTTTTGATAGTTGGAAAACGTTCATGAAAGTATACTTATTTCGAAATATACCCGATAATGCATTTCAACGTTTAGGGCTTTATCAGATCCAAAAGTGAAAAAAATGAGATGCGTGTATGTGTATTTGTGATTGTCTAAATAATGAAATCAGATTATTTTTTTCCGAAATTGGCGTTTCTCGTCTTGACTAAAGAAAAGAAAGAAGATGAGTTGTTACCATTTATTTTCTTTACTTTTAGTTTTCGAATGGAAAGATATAATCTTTCAGAATTGATAGAAAGTAAAAGATTTGTTTTTTCTTCTTTTTTTATCCATGCGTTTTCTGTGTCGACAGTATGTTTTAAAATTAGGATATATGATCTCGACAAATATGATAATATATATGATCTCGACAAATATATATATATATATATATATATATATATATATATATATGTGTGTGTGTGTGTCTATGTGTGTGTGTGTGTGTGTGAAGTTGTATTGGCGGGATAATTCCACTTTAAAACTTGTTTCGTTAATGATAACGTACTTCTGCTGTTTTTTTATTTACCTTAATAGATGCACTCTCAGAGGACGAAACACGTCGGCCATGATAAATTTCCCTTTTGTCTTTATGCTCTATATAAAATTACAAAGACACATATATATGTATATATGTGTGTGTGTATATAATTGTGTATTTGGCCAGCAATTCCTCTTTAATAGATGTTTCGTTAAACAGGATTAACAAGGTACGTTTTGATAAGATTTTTATGTTTTCTTTTATACATACTGAATATACACGTCGAGAGCATAGATGTGATACGTACCTCCCACTGCAAAAAGCTTTTAAAAATGATAGATAACCTCATTATGACAAACTAGAAAACAAATATTAATAACATTATGGGCACAGCCACAATCTACAATCCGTATTTCGAAATAAAAAAAAATATTTATTTACACTTACACACCATGTATGTATGTGTGTGTGCATATATATATATATATATATATATATATATATATATATATATATATATATATATATATATATATAAAATGGGTGTAGCCGAGTGGTTAGAATGTTTGCTTTCTGACCATGAGGCCCCATTTTGCGGGACATTTGGAAAGTGCCTGAAAAAAATAACACGGGTTGAGCCAAGCCTTGTGAGTGGAATTGGGTAGACAGAACTCTTGAGGGCCACCGATAGCTGTGCTAGCACGAAGTCACAAGTCATGGTGAGTGTGTTGGCCTTCTTCTGATTGTTGATCATGCTCGATAACACGCTCTCTCCCAGAAACTAAGGTCTGGCCAGCATAGTAGAGGATTGGCTAGTATACGGGTATCCTCGAATACGAGTGGCCAGCTATTATACACACACACAGACACACACGTACACACACACACACACACACACACACACACACACATATATATATATATATATATATATATATATTAAACTAATTTATTTATCGTCCTTTATTTCATACTCCCAATTTCATTTATTTTATTTTGAACGGGGTTTATTTTCAAGTCATATTTTCTTAATGTCGGAGCCCCGAAGCTATTTGTGAGGTTCGCAGACTTCTCATGGTACAGGTGTTAGAGATTTATTTGCGTATAAACTTTCCTCTGAATAGTGAGTTCAATCCTCACTTGGTGATCAAAGTTTGTATTTTTTACTAACACTAATCCATGCTTATTGTTAACTTAGATCATCGCTGGTGCAACAAAACACAACCTTAACCAGAATCAAATATTTTTCTTCTTTTTTATGTTTAAACGGCAATAAATATCGTGATAAAAAGAGAGATTTGCTTTCATGCAGGCATACCTGCTTGAAGCTGGCGGTAATGGAATATTTCCTAAGACTTCAAATCTCTATGGCGGTTTGTGAAATCAACATGATTTGATACAAAAAGAGAATGTGATATATATATATATATATATATATATATATATATATATATATATAAAATAAACAGAGGGAGAGATGGAAGGATAGAGAAAGAGAGAGAGAGATAAAGAGAGAGGTAAAATAAGAGAGGGAGAAAGATAAAGTCAGGAAAGATTTGCTGGTACTTCTTTTTTTAATTTTTTGTTTTGAGTACAAACTAAAAGAAAAACAAAATCCACGAATACCCTGTGAAAATAAAATAAAACGTTGCCATGTTGTTTGCTTTCGGGCGTCGCCTCGTTTTTCTTAAATGTTAACAGCGCCTATTAACATTTTTTTTAAATACGTAAATCTGTTTTCTTTCTTTCTTTTTTCTTTCTTACTTTTTTCTTTCTTGCTTGATTCTTTCTTTCTTTCTTTCTTTCTTTCTTTTTTTCTTTTCTTTTCTTTCTTTCTCCGTTTCTTTTTTCTTTCTTTTTTTCACAAGCTAACATTTCAATCGTCGTAAATTTTCGTCCGTCACTTAGTAATTTACAGACAGAATAAGTTTCCCAAATACATCAATGTCCACTTAGGTTTATAAACCAATCATTTTCTTTTTCATCTCTCTGTAGCTTCAAATTGAACTTTTTAGATAACAAACTGGAATCAATCTGCATCTGACATGGAAAGGGTGTGCCCAGATTTGTTGTTGAATCAGGGTGAAAGCGTCGGTTTCAGCCTTCTTATTCAAGTTAAGCAGCGTCGAACCTGATCACTATTTAGATAGGTGACTGCAGATAAGCAAAAGCTACTCCGAGAAACGTGTAGCTCGTTGCCAGATTAAATAACATTAAATAAATAGCTGAAAATGTATTCCTTGCTGCATGCGGTCGTGCATATAGCACTGGCTGTCGTTGCATTATCTCAGTGCATCTAGTAAAAGTAATGGCTAGGAGCTGATCCTATTAGGAAAAAAAGAAAAAGATTTTATCCATTGCTAGTAAAAGGGGTCCCCCACCCACAGACACAAAATGTTATTGTATTCTACGTGCATGAATGTGCTCGTAGCGCAGTGGTTCGCGGACTAAGGTACCGATTTCAAATTTCAGTCGTTAGTTTGTTTTTGCACAAATATCTTTGAAAAAAACATGATCCCATCTATTCTTCCCTAATTAATAGGTCAAAAGCAATTGTAGACTGGATACTCTGGCCTTGATTGGACAACTCTGATTTCAACACCGGTTGGCAGTTGGTCTACTTGCTACAGAAACCATAGCAACAGCACAGTGTAGCGAGATCGTGGCTTTATACGCCACAGAACAGTCAATAGGATTGACACCCATGCGTCCTGTTCTTTTCTGTTATCACTGTGCGGCACGTTTATTGTGTAATTTCTCCTTGTTTCTCTCCTTTTACTTTAGGTACGCTTGAGAAAAGTCCCCATTAAAACTACTTCCTCTTTAGCCTTTTACAATTGCCGGAACCGGAAGAATAAAGGACAGGCTCAATGTACGCGATTCCTACTTTTTCTATCCTCCTAATTCGACCCCAAAACAATAGCATCGCCGTTTCACCCGTTTTGTCTATCAATAAACCTAGTTATGAATATAACTTTGTCTTCAGAGATTTTTGATTGCTATACGGCGTTTAATTGACTGAGGTACGGACGCGCACAAGACGGACACGTATCGGGAGACAGATCTCATTCTATATGACCCTGCCGTCTAAAGAAAGAACAAATAATTACACCGATTATGTCTATTAAATATAACTTCTTTTCGTTAGGGAAGAGAAAACTGTTAAAATAAAGAGCACTGCCCAAAGCTTTAAATCTAAGTGAAGAAGATTATTTGTTCAGATAAACAACATTAAATCAATTAAGTAAACCTTAGTTTGGGAAGACTTCCTATTTTACGGTATCTACTAGTGAGTATTTAGTTTTGCTCTCTATATGAACTCGCATTCTGACCAGCTTGATATATTCAAAGTAATCAGTGCAACAAACGTCCGTCATTGGTTTCTGCAGTCGAAATATTTACTAGTCTCACTGCTCAAGATGATGGGAAAGAGATACGATTGGAGAAGATAAACTTAAATAGCACCCGAAAAAGCCAGCCAAATGAATAAACATTGTGGCTGAGTAATGATCTTATTTTAGATGACTGAAATGGTGCCTGTAAGATCTAGTATTTGTTTCCTAATGTCGAGATAGTGAATGTATTTTCTAGTAGAATAAATGAATAAAAAGCAAAAAACAAAAAAATTAAAACGAGAGAAAATAAAATTCGAAAGTGAGTCATAACCAATATTCAACAAAGTTCTTCGGACTAATATCCTTATTCTTGTTGGATTTATCACTGCGAATCAGCCGAGGCATTATTCGGCCTTTCTCAAGTGTAAAAGGGTATTCATTGAGGACGTATCTTGTCCCACGACTACTACTGAACGAACTGACTAACCTTTCTCACAGAAGGCGCCCCAACTTACACCCTGACAAAGAACCATAGACGTAAAGATGAATTATAGATCTGAAGAAGGCTGAGTAATGTATCGGCTGAAACTTAGTTCTGAAACGAACGAAACTAGATTAGTTCAGGTATAATATCGAAGAAAACATTTAGGTGATTTATTAGTTGTCATTTCCTAAGATCAAGCTGGTTTATCACAAGGTTACAAGGGCATCCTGGGAGGATTACATGACGGCTTAAACAGATTAGCTCGCTAACTGTTGCTATATACCTAAGAGTCTAACGTAAATTTATGATTTTGATTGATTGGTTCTTTTTCTACGGCTTATCAACCCTTTACAGGTTATTTAAAGTCAGAAAATATTTTTAGTTTGTAAGAATTTTGTTTACAGATAATGATTTAGTGATACAACTCTTACTAATTAATCCTTACCTGGGGAAATAAGGTAGATTCATACCTTTTCCAATAGTATTTGCGCGTAATTGAATATAAAGAACCGAACTAGAGTTGGAACTCGGCTTTCCGATTAACAATTCCGAGTCCTTATCAATTACACCACCCGCACATCCAAGCTTACAGTACCTGAGATACCCAAACGGTTACCCATCTAGGTACTGACCAGCCTCGATGTTGCTTAACTTCGGTGATCATACAGGAACCAGTGTTTCAACGCCTGTATCAATTTATGAAAAACTACACTTAAATTACCATTCAGAAAAAGGGAAATTTGCTTTCATGCCTTTATGAAGAATTAGAAGAATGCTTAACAACAAGAATTTAAATATGTCTTGCCTCCATTTTCAAATTCTACAATCTTGTTGATGTAATTAATCTTCTCTTTTATTCTTCAATTCCATTTTTTTTCTGTTTCTTTTCTTTCCGAATTTCTGGGATGAGTGGTCATCATTTACATTCATATTAATGTCTTCATCTTCATTTTTCTAGTATCTGTCTATATTTCTGAGATGAGGAATTATGTACATTATTTACATTATTCGGACTATTGTCCTCATCTTTTTCGCCATATTTATTACAACATTTCGGCCGTTGTACACTCCGGTCTTCTTCAAGTGGTTGGAATGTCAAACTGAAGCCTTTATCTCACTTACTGGGGTAGAGTGTTCTAGTTACACGTGCCATGTTTAATGGATGTCAGTTATCAGTTATCTACTGTTAATTTCCCTCGGGAAGTTCTCGACTGCATTAGCCGGGTATTGAACTTACACTCTTTAGGTCCTGTCACTGGATCTAACTAACACCTTTATCCACTGTGCCATGTGGAGAACTTTCAGAGGGAAATTAACAGGAGATAACTGATAACTGACATCCATTAGACATGACACGTGGAACTAGAACAGAAGTCGTAATTGATCTAGCGAGAGAAGCTTGTTAACCATTACACCAAGACGAACTGGAGTTGGGAGTAGGTCTATACCTGCATTACAAGCTCTCATTTACATATTTAAGTTTCAGGAAGCATTTTAAACCAATCAGCGCCAAAGTTTATCAGACAGTGGCAATAGACGACTTCATTTCACTATAGAATTGGAAACAGATGAGTTCATTCCACCGTACAACGATTATACACGCACTTGTGTGTCTCCTTATTAACATGTCAGTCGCTCGGATAGTTATTAGCTGATTACAGATTTGAGATTGCCTGTGTATAATGTTAAACCTATAGGTTTAATATTCACCAATGAGGCCACTGAAATGAAATGGTAAAAGTAAAAATAATTGTTAGGTCACATAACTACATTTTACTCATTTGCTTATGGGCTTATTGTTGAGCTTTAAAATATTTTATTATTTTATATATATATATATATATAGAGAGAGAGAGAGAGAGGGAGGGGGGAGAGAGGGAGAGAGATTTATTGTGAATTAATACAATTATGGCACAAGGCCGAAAAGGGGGAATGGTCTGAGGCTGGTCTTCACTAACTATCTTATACCTAGCTAATCGAATTCACGACCCATTCACTCGTTAAAATTTTCTTATTCACCATAAAAATTCATCTGTCGCCAATCAATCCTCCATACATCATAATACCACATTCTCAAAGAGGAGGGGGGGGCTTTAAAGAAAAAAACAACATCCCAATGAGATGATAAATATTATTTACAATATATATATACAAATCGGATGAATGATCATGAAAGGGGAGAGGTGAACCCCAAACAAACTAAATAAAAAAACAAAGCAAAAACAAACAAACTGAAAATAAATATATATATATATATATATATATATATATATATATATATATATATATATATATAATTATTTATTTAAAAAAATATGATTACAACGCTACATAAGAGTTCTCATGTTTCAAAACAAGAGTCGAAAACTTCAATATAATTATTTGAATTAAATCGAATTAAAGTACTAAGCTCTGTTCCATATATATATATATATATATATATATATAATAAAAATATAATTTTAAGGCACGGTATATTTACCGATAACTTACTCAGTATCAGGGATAGAGCGAATGCGAACATAAATAGACATTTGTAAATATAAATATACACAAGATAATCAAGCCCTGAAAACCAATCAATATTCACCCATCATAGCTTGAACATTGTGTTCAAGCATGAAGCAGAATGTCCCCCAATGGTGTTGACCTCAGAGTCCACTTGCATTTTTCTGGTGTACAACTTTTTAAAAAAGTGTTATTTCGACTTTAAACAAACAGAAATATTCCGGATGTATTAGATGCTTAGTAGCTCCGTCTTTCAAGAAACAATATGAGTAAAACATGAGGAACAGGAAACTTTTTTCTACGGATTTCTACGGATTTTTCATTAGAATGATTCGTGGTTTCGATTCAGCAGATATACTCGGTTGTTCATTCGTACTTTGCAGATGAACTTATCTTTGATATCCAAGAATTGCATAATCGATTTTTCTCCAGTTCTTCTGTCGTTATGTCCTGGTGACCGAAAATCTAACCTTACGTGGATTTCCCTAAAACTGCACTTTAAAGCTAAGCACTAGAACAGAGTATTCAGTAACAATTGTACATACAATGAATTAATTGAAACATTATCTATCTATCTATCTATCTATCTATCTATCTATCTATCTAAACTAAATATCTATCTATCTATCTATCTATCTAAACTAAATATATTTTATCTATCTGTCTATCTATCTATCTATCTAAACTAAATATGTTTTTATCTATCTATCTATCTAAACTAAATATGTTTTTTATCTATCTATCTATCTATCTATCTATCTATCTATCTATCTATCTATCTATCTATCTATCTATCTAAACTAAATATGTTTTTATCTATCTATCTATCTATCTATCTATCTATCTATCTATCTATCTATCTATCTAAACTAAATATGTTTTTTATCTATCTATCTATCTATCTATCTATCTATCTAAACTAAATATGTTTTTTATCTATCTATCTATCTATCTATCTATCTATCTATCTATCTATCTATCTAAACTAAATATGTTTTTATCTATCTATCTATCTAAACTAAATGTTTTTATCTATCTATCTATCTATCTATCTATCTATCTATCTATCTAAGTGTTTACGTTATGTTATGTGTATCTATAATTGCGACCTGAATATTGCACCAATTGTTCAACCATACATACATGATGGCTGGCGACTAGTTAAACGAGAATGACCATCACTGATAGGTTTTCCATCTACCCGTTTTGAAAATTCAGAGTTTTCCTTCTCCTAGACTAGTTGCCTGATGATTTTTCAGTGTGGTGTAATGGATAACGGCTCGAAATGAAAAATCGAAGAGCCGAGTTCACTAGCACGCATATACCTTTCGGAAAGATATGAATTCCTTTCGTCTCCCCAGAGGTTAAATAGCAAGACATACTGGGTCCTATAATTTTGTTTGGCAGCCAGTCTACCGCAGAAAGAAAACTCCGCGAAATCTTTTGTATAGTTAGTCATGAATCGGAAGAGATATGACCGTCCAATCGTGTATCACGCATGACACATGACTGCATTTGACTAGACTGGTTGTTAATCAAGACTAGAGAGCTGCGTCTACCCTACTATGTAACCCACAGCTTGAGAGAGAAAACTTTGTTTCATATCCTTTCCCAATGTTACTTGCGTGAAAAGGAATCTAATGAACTGGACTGGAATTGGAACTCATATCGCCGACTTCTCATTCCAAGCCGGTAACCATTTACATCTGCAACAGAGGTTAAGATGTCAGCAATAATTGTGCTGAGGCTATAGTCATATTTGGCTTGCACGACTCCACAACGATTCACGCAAAGAAACTAAGAATCCCATACATACATATACACTTTGTTTTTCTGTCTAATATAATGTTATGGTTATCAATATCTTCTTGAGAAACAACTCGATTGTGTTATAAATACGATACTCATTGGTACCAAACTATCGTGACCTTAGGTTAGACTACAATAAAGTTACTAAACAATCCTGTTACTGCGTTTAAATATGTGCACACATGTATCTAATAAAACACGGCTGAATTCAATTATGGTCAAGGACTCTCCAAATTTTCAAGTATTTCTACGCTGCTTTGAAAGCGATAATTTACTGGCAGTTTCGGAAGTTCTTGTGATGCCAGACAGAAGGACTTCGAATAATACGAATCGATAAAGGCAACCTGTTATTCCTTTTACTCTTCCAAGCGAGAATGTCATTTAAAAAGAAGCACAGTGAAAAGTGCGTAGAGATGGATGAATGTCGATGAAGCGGTTTAATCTGAAGAAGAACCAGTTTTGGTTACTTGCATGACTACACTGACGGAAAATAAAATTTCAGCATGTTGAAAATCTGTCTCAATTTACTCAAGATTAAACACAGAGATAATATGGTTAAATGACAGTAAATAGTCACATATACAAATCAATACGTGTACAGTTTCCAAAATAAATCAACTCCCGCTGTCAAGGGTATGGGGTATCACCTATCATTGTAGTTGGCTTCGGTCGATGGGCCCAACTGTGGCTTCTAAGATTGATTCATGCGTGGGATAATCGTGGCCAATATGAACAGATATTTTTTCCTGAAGAATGGGAACCTCTGCCTTTCGTCTTCGCTCTAATTTCTTGAATGTAGCTTTTTTATGGGCTGTGACTTGCGGCTACATCATCTGTTCCCGTAGGATCACCGAAGTTAAGCAACGTCGGGGTTGGTAAACGGCTAGGTGGGTAACCGCTTAGAAATACCAGGTGCTGTAAGCTTGGATGTGCGGGTGATGTAATGGATAACGACTCGGAATTGTTAATCGGAGAGCAGAGTTCCAATTCCAGTTGAGTTCGTTATAGTCATAGGCTCAAATACCCTTGGGAAAGGTATCAATCCACGTCTTCTCTCCATCTATGGATTAATTAGTAAGATTTGTATCACTAAATCATTATTATAATCTCCCACCCCAAATCTTACAATCTTAATATATTTTTTGGCTTTGAATAACCTGCAAAGGGTTGATAAGCTGTAGAAAACGAATTGGTCAATCAATCAATCGAATCGGGCTGCAGCATCTTCCAGTGTTTGCGCTCCATATCATCTGCATCTAGGTCTGATAGTCTAGTCCAGTGATTTTTAATATTCAGCATAAGAGAGGTATTAATAGTATCCCGGTATTAATATGGTGTCAGAGTAATTCTAATATATCTACTCATATTAGCAACCCGTACGGTCATAAAGATGGTGAATATCATTATGCAATATATGATTGATTGTATGCCTCTTGCATTTGTTGAGGTAATACCGTAAGTATTGTCAGTGTGCTATTTTAATGTTAGACTTCATCCCACTCGTGCGGGCCACGGAAGCTGAACATTTTGAATAGCCCGTGGCTAGCATGGGCATCGTGTAGTGAACTTATTCTAGCGAAAATACACATGCCTTCATTTTGCAAGAATGGCAATAGAACTGGTCGAACCTATATGGCGCTGTTCAATATACCCTTCCATAAACACCAAAGGTGCGCCAGTGTTGTAATACATGAGGTGTAACATCATAATATCACGCATTGAGCCAGTATGTTGCGGGCGAATACATTCTGGAAGATGCCGCTCTTTAAGTCGACGACCAACACCTGAATGAACGCAGAACCTGATCGTATCGCTGAACACTACAGAGTATCATTCAATCTACAGGCGACAGTTTTACGGCAAAACTGGAAACATGCACAATAGGTAGTCCTGTTGCCGGTAAACGATTCCCAACGATCGAGTGACTATTCCGATGCTGCATATGCTAAGATTTGTTTACCTCCTTTGGATATTAACACAGACCAATACTCTCGCATATGAATGTATCGATGGTGAATGTCATTTCGTGATATTTTATTTCAGGATTCTTACACATGTCGACGCAATACCGCAAGACTTGAAAGTGTGTTAACCGAACAATCTAGGCGTCATCTCATGCACCATACATGTTCGAATCAGAGAGGTTTGACAATCATTTACCCTTGGAAGTTGTCACACTTCTTGCAGAACATGCTGAGTAACATGGGTAACATGTGGGCAGGAATTATGCGGCTGGGACAATATATCGCGTTTCTGTAACAGCAGAATGAACTAAACAATATTCTGGATGAACAAGGTGGTGTTCAGTGTTCCCTTTACAAACATCAAAGATGAGTGAGAATTAGAATTTCTCATATCCTACAACATGATGCTAGAGGTTAGGATCTTTTGTCAATGTTTTTGTCAATACACTCTGGAAGATGTTGCGAATCAGGTCTATATTGCACAGAACCTGCTTTCATCAGTGAACGCTACAATGTGTCATTTGGCCTATCAGGTAACAGTTTCACGATACCTCTTTTATTTCAAGGAATTGCCATGACTTCTAAAAGTTAGTGGAGCGGTTTCACGTTATATCTCCACGATTTAGAATTCTCTTAGACTTAGTTTTCTTTCTCTTAGACTGGTTGCCGTTCAAGGCTAGAAAGCAAAGTCTACGCTGCTACTTAACAACTAGTGGAGAACAATGGATTAATGCCTTCCCTAAGAGTACACCTGTGAAAGAGAACGCAACATACTCGACCAGAACTTGAACCCAGCTCGCCGAATCTATTTCCCATCCCGTTACATAAATCCATCAGCTATGGTAGGTGAAAAAGTAGAAAAGTAAGCAAACAGTAGTTAATGTAGTTTTTATATCACTTCGAACGGGGCAATGTATGTGTACCTTACTACTTAATGGGAAGAGAGAGAGAGAGAGAGAGAGAGAGAGAGAATGGGGTGAGAGAGAATATATTAATAAGTAATAATGACATCAATTATCGGTGGTGGCATTGTTGGAGAACGTGAGAGTGGAAACGGCAAAGTCAGGAGTCGAAGCAATTGTGATTAAGTAGGGGGGGTGGGAGTAAGTCCGAGCAGGGTTAGTCATTGATCTTGTCTGCTTATCTGTCTGTTACATCACGACCCATTCACTTAGGACAATGGCTAAAGTGACCGAATGAGGCGGGGAGTGGGGTCAGTATTATTTGATGAACAACTCTTGACATCGTCAAATCTTAATGTACAAAAGAAGGTACTTCATAAGCTGCAATAAGAACTTTAGTTGACACACTCACACAAATATATACCATATATACATATATACATATATATATATAAGCAAATATGAAAAGAAATTAATTTCTATTCATTCAGGTTTGTTTGGCATTAAATTTCATTACTTAGCATCCTTCATCGTTTATCTTGACTCTCACAGTTAGTTTGAATAATACTTATGAGCGTACTTTAATTTAAAAAAATATGGAAACCTAACGATGCTCTTACTTATGTTTATGAAAATAAAAATCCTTACATTCGTCTTGATAAAATCTATCATAGAACGAAACGCGTTGATAAATAATAAATAATAATTTTCCTTTTTGCCTTTACTCTCTCTCTCTCTCTCTCTATATATATATATAATTATTTATTTAAAAATATGATTCCAACGCTACATAAGAGTTCTCATGTTTTATGCTCTACTTTTGTATCGAGCACTATTTTTAAAAAAATAATAACAAAAATACTAAAGAACTTTGGATTATTTACTTAACGAGTTCTTTCCTATTTTCTATATATTTTTACACACACACACACACACACACACACACACACACACACATATATATATATTAAAAAGAAGAGAGACACTGCAAACGTTTTTGGTTGTTATGTAGAT